ATACGAATAGTTGCGATGAAGGTCCGGAACTGATAGCTACGTTTTGAGGGATTCGAAAAGTTCTCAACGCCCTCATGTCAAAATGGGGTACAGTGCTTCGATCTAGTACGATAAACATTCCAAAGAAATCGTGGCCGATGATAATCTGATTTACTGGTTGTAAATTTCGTGTCAAATCAAAGATTTTGATTGTGTTATCGCCAACGTCTGAGACTACAAGGGCGTCATTTGGAGCAAAGCAAAGATCGGAAGGCCTCGAGAGACTCGCGGAAATCTTTCTGACCATCCAAGGAATACCATTAGTGACATCTCTACCGTAGAGTTCGATGCAACGTTCCTTTATAACTGCAACTTGTCCCTGTTTGGATACTGCTATTCTATTGCTTTCAAGGCTTGGAAACGACTGTTTCGTTGGGAAAACGGCCATCAAGGCTGCGACTCAACGGAAGGAATACACCGAGTATAAAAAACCACTAAAACACTATGAAGAAAATTTCCTAACGTATATTTATCTATCGAAGAAATAGTAATTCAACCTTTCAGGTATTTTTCATATTTCTCCGAAATCGCCGTGACAGTATTTCTCGGAAACTGAAAATGAGGGTGCTGGCTATCCACGCGTGACCGTCAATATGGAAGCATCCTGGAAGAAACTGGTCAGCGGCACCTCTTTCTTTGTGATAAGGCTAAAACTTTACAGATGTATAGAATTAACATTAATTCTTTAAACTGACGAGGGAAAATCGAAATTCCTTGATGTCATTAAACTCCGTGTGATTTATACAGCACCAAGAGATTATATTCTCATGACAGCACTAAATAAGCACCTTCGATTAAACGAGTTTTTAAGTGCAGGCACCTTCCTCGTCATCTGAGAGGATACTAAGTATAAAATTCATAGGAAAAAACAGTCGATGGAAATCAGCCTTAAGGCGTAAAATTAAAAAAATTTAACCGTTCAGTCGTATAAAAGCTAACTTTTAAAATTTTTCGTTACTACGATGCGTCGTTTTTTAAGTGTCAAAAGTTATAAGGTTGCGATTTTATCCCGATACCGAAAAAAAAGACCTTTGGCTCAGATCCCGCAGAAATTACTGATAATCACCAATCGATTATAGACCACTCATTCTCGTCTCGAGAGTCTCTCTTCTTCAATTGCTGTTGGTGAAAGAAAACGAGGGACTGGGGCCGAGAATGGGAGACCACGTTCGCTCCTTCAAAATGAATCTGTAATCAGGTGGATCCCCAATAACTTTTCAAAACATTTCTCCGGTCACAATGAAATTTCTAATTGTCTGCAAGTTGTCAACCAAAGTACGTAACATTTTATTCGTCATCACTTCGTAATCTTGTAATTTTGGTTTCAAAACTTTGAATAGTGAACACCTTGTTCATAATAATTCTATGAATTGTAACTTCTTCGGTTACATTCATTAAATCTGCAAACCAGTGAAGCATCAAACTATGTCTGAGAGTGGATGATGTTATACGCATTAATTCTATTGATTGTGTTTATTATGATGAAACTACATTGGAGTCCATTATTAACTTAAATTTCAGACTTGCAAGATGGTTTCCCTTTGGCAGGACCATGACATTTTGAATAAATGTTATTATTAAATTTTAAACTCCGAATATTGCACTTCTAGTGTTCTGATTGGTTCACTAAATTCCGGATATCAGCTCATATTCCGAGCCGCTTACAAGAAAGTTTACTGCGGCAATTGGTGCAGAGCTGATACAAGCTCCAGGTATCTAAACGGTCAGGATAAAATAAAACTTATCAAAAAAAATTACTCCATTCGCGCTTGTTGGATACGAGATTGGTTATAGCCCACTCGGCACTAAGCACCTTGTTCGCCATCTCATATCCAAGGCGCACTCATGGAATAATTGTTACCTATTCACTGTCGAGCAACTTGCGCGGGATTTGCTCCCGAAAACTCCATAATAATCGCAGGAATAAATGAATAAAAATCATCTTTTTGTGCTCTTTTATCCCACTGTTTTAGTATAAACTGAAACAACTATTTACCTTCGTGTCGATGGCTGTTTACCTCCCCGCTTCGCAGCTTGGTAAATATCCACCAATAGCCACCTCCACTTCTTTGAATAGTTGTTAATTATCATTATCATTATAATTATTATCATCACTGTCATTTATTGTTATGGTAAATCTTTATTGTTATGGTAAATAGTGAGGCTGGCAACGACACTTTCCCAATTGACAGAGGATCTCGATGAGGTGATGGCTTTTACGGCTAACGGTCAAAATGTTGGCAAATTTACAGCTTGCAGTTAACATCTTTCCGCTGTTGTCACCAGAATTTTTTTACGCTTAACTTTTTTGACAACTAACGGTTAAGACTTGTCAATTTTTACCATTGAGACGCATTGAAACTCGTCTTCAACTTTCCAATACTTCTTTAAAAATCCTAGCATTGCAGGGCAGCGTTTTTGTATGCACTCCACCGGGATGCTAATGCCAATACCCTCAACATTCATTGTTATCGTTATCGTTATCAATTGCTTTATCGTTCAACGTCATCGTAATCTCTATCGCTAATGTTTTCTTGAGCGTGTAGTTGTCATGTTCATCTACAATCCAAACTTCTCCAGAAAAGTAAGATTTAAAGAAGACATCACGTACCAGTCTTCTACTACAAAAGTTTTTCCATTTTTACGCATCGAACAACGCCCCCGCAAAAAAATCAAAAACAGAAAGAAATTTCGGCAGACTTCTGATATTATCGAGTGAAACCAGAATTAAATGAATTAACAATAGTGCAATAAATTTTTCAGAATCTTTGTTTTTCGTCTTTCCAAACGAAACTCGCCTTATTTTACAATAAAATTTTTGATCAAGAGCCTTTGTCTTTTATAGTACAGGTGAGATCCGCATCGATCTCTAAATCTTTATTAAGGAACTAACGATTACTGTTAAAAACTATTTTTTTTCAGGGTCCAATCAAAGTACTACGCTGTTGCTAATTTCTTAAGAAAAAAAATCCGTTATATTTTTAGAGACAGTTACCAGTATGTGCTTTATCTTGCGATACTGATAAATTTCAACTCTTAAAATATAATGAAATTTTCTCGACGAGCAACAGCATAGTCCTTTTAATTGGACTGTGATTAAAAATAGTTTGTAACCGTCAATAGCTTCTGATTTTTTTGCAAAAAAATGTTTACTTGATTTGTCATTGAGAAAATGCGAAATGACTTCAACCAAAACTATCCAAACTATGAATAAATTGTCGCCCACAAAGTGTTTTGTTTTCTGGTTCAATCTTTTGTTGCTATAGTTACCAAAAATGTATACACTTCTTTTTCATGCAGATGGGATGACGTAATACTCAAGTTATCACTCCACCACAAATACCTCGTTTGCATATTCCCGGTTTATAAAATCACCTAAACCTTCAAGGTCATATAACGCCGGTTTAAAAGTTGGAATTGTTTTCATCTGCGAGACAAATCAGATCCCTCGTGTTCGCAAATCGAGGTAGGTAAGCGTTCATCTTATGCTGGGGATATTTTGAGCGGTTAGCTTTTGAAAGAAATTTAACAGGAACTTTGAAACCTCGAGAACTTAACTGTTACATATTTGCGAATGTTTGACTTGTTCACCAGTTCTGATCGTTCTTTTGGTGAAAAATCTTTGCCAAATTTGCGTATAGAGAGAAAATTTTATGGGAATTTTCGAGCAGATTTTTGTGAATGTTTCATAATTTCATGTTGCACTGATGATTACTCATGATTCTCTCCGAACTTCGAAATCAAATGTTATGATACTTTCCTTTAGGTCTTGCGTGTTTTTGATTTGTTAAATAAGAGAGTCAAAGCGAAAATGAAATCGAACTAAAGGTGTTAGAAATATGACGTATTTCATTTAAAAAAAATGTGTTCTTAGTCCTTGGTTTTGACCATAATTGGTCACGCAACATTATCTCGAAATCTTCTTAAATAAATGATTTACGCGAATGACTTCAACAAAGGGAGAGACATTACAATCGTTTAATCTTTGACAGTTCATCTCGGTATTTTTGTCGTTTAACCTAAATCTTCGACGAAGTTTTGAAATGAATCAAAACTTAATGCACTTTGGGATTATGCATGCCCGTGGCGTGCATAATATCAACTATATTGATTACATGCATCAAGATACCATAAACAAGTCTGTTCGCATCCTTAGTTCTGGATCCTTTCAAACTAAATATGCAAATTATAATTTTGACAGGACTACAATTGGAATAATTCTCGGGAAATTTTTGTACGATGGAAAATTCTAGAAGTGCATAAAGTAAAAGAAAACAATTCGTCAGAAGTTCATTATCGTCAATACTCTCCGTGTCGTCAATTGAGCCTCAAGATTATCAAGGGCTTAGAAAGTTTCCGGGTGTCGCATTTTTCTTCATTTTTTCCTCCCGGAAACACTGTCCCAAAAAGTCAGAAATGCCCGGAAATGGGTCCCAGTCTTCCTTGTGCCAATCATATTTGATACCAGAGGGGGCTTAATATATTGCTTCACACTGCTCTTAGCCTTGGAGTTACGCCCATTCTAGCGAGCCAAACTGTTGAGATTTACCGTAAAATTTGGCTCAACTCTCTCTTATTTTTTCTCCATTTTTCATCATAGGTAAGTAAAACTAGACAGATAATCTTAGAGGACATTGATAGCAGTTTTGATTTTCTCTTCTCTAATATTAACGGAGTTTTCAATCTTTCGTTCGAATTGGACGCGGGCATATGCATTTCTGAACTTGTAATTGTAATTCACCGCCGATGAACATTATTCCTGCCTATAAGATAAGCTTTTCAGACTAGTCCACCGACGTGAGGGATTTTACTATCCGGGTAAATCCTAGAGATGAGGCTCACTGCCTGAATATGCCGCACGGAAAGTTCTCAGTGAGCGTGACTATGAATTTCAGCCTTGTTTAATTTCGTGTTCTCTTGTATTACAGCCCAAACTTAACCCTGTAGCTGCCGGTCAAGGAAATTCATTTTTAGTTTGTGAGTTTATTTGTGGTGACAAGACAAAACTCTTCAACATGCCGAAAGTGGTAAGTCCTAATTTAAATCAATTTTTCAACCGCTTCAGCTTTCAGACTTAAACACAGTTCGTATGGTACAGAAAGTACATATTTGAGTACATTCATTTTCGATCCTGCGTTTGATAAGTCCGATTATTAATTTCCTCAGCTGAACGTTCGCGTCACGACCATGGATGCAGAGCTGGAGTTTGCAATTCAGCCAAGCACAACAGGAAAACAGCTCTTTGATCAGGTAAAAAATCTTGAAAAAATTTAAACTCGCCGAGCACTCTGCACACTATGCATAGTTTAATAACTATTTACTAATCAGTATTCAATTCTCCACACAGGGGAACGACATCTTTGAAACCAAGCCTATTTTAATCCATATGTTTTCAAGACTCTAATTTATTTTTCCAGGTCGTGAAGACGATAGGCCTACGAGAGATTTGGTTTTTTGGTCTGCAATACACAGACACCAAAGGATATGAAACATGGCTAAAGCTAAACAAGAAGGTATAGTTCGAATTCATATGTTTTGGAAATGAAATGCATATTTAGTATTGCAAAACACCAGGTTGAGTCTTTGCATCCTCCGCATCTGTACCTCAATGGAAATAAGAGCTGATTGCGTCTGCACTTCAATGGAAATAAGAGCTGATTGTTTTGTGGTTTTGGCTCACGAAAAGGTACTCAGCTAAATTGTAGAGAACCATTATGAATTGTCTGGCTGGGTCATTAACATTCTCTTTAATTCACTCTTCACTATGGATATCATCCAGCTGTAGAAATTTAGAGAGAGCATCAGTTGTTCGACCAGAAAATAACAGATAAAAAAATGCAGTTACAGATTGAAGGCACATCAAGGCACGCTCCTTTTTGCTTAAAGTGCATCCTATATGTTGAGACAAAAACCTCAGTAGGGAATGGATTTATATTTTTTTAAGAGCTATGCTATGACATTAGTCACTGCCTGTCAATGTGAGGGATCCATTAGTAAAATAAAAAGTTTGTTATACTTGACTAACACTGACAAGGTAAAACTAAACCAGAAGTCACCATGACAGCTTATAAATCTGGAGACAGGCAGACTGTAAATTATAAGTCTTCCTATTTGGGAAGCACAGACCATGACATGTTGTCTCTGAATTCTGAAATGGCTGTGTGCCATTTTTATTCATGACTATTGTCTTTCCTCACCAGTTTGGTGTTAAAATTGGAATTAGATCATCACCTGCCACAATCTTATGTATATACTTTCAATGCACTTCTGTAGTTAAGCGCTTTTTCAGAATCTGGCTCTATATTCCTAAGTTTCATTCAAACTATTGTTTTTTTGTTTGCATAAGGATATATATGTTAAAATTTGAGCACGATGACCTTTTTCAGAGCATGGCAAACAGTGAAGATAGTTAAAATAGAGTGAAGAAAACAGAAGGGAAATCTGTATCTTAATCAAATGATTAATTGATTTCTCACGGAAGTTGCAATAAATTGCACTTGTTAAGCATTCCCAGACTACAAATGGTGTTAGTCTTTGTAAAATCTACTGGCTCTTAATTATTCCAGATTGCATGGGAAATAAATTGATTAACTATGTTAATTAACCTGTAAATTAATAGACATGCTGCTAATGAGATTAAAAGGTTTTGTTAAAGATAACAGACTTGCTTGGAGTTGATTTGAATAACAAAGAAATAAGTTATTAGTTATTGTGCTGCTTAGTTCAGCAGTTTAGAGACTGACTTATCAATTCTTGTCATTATTCTTATACTACTGACTCTTTCATTTAGTCTTTCCTCTAAGAGTCTTGGTAATTGTAATTTAAGTTCAAATGTTTTATTAAAACACTTATGATAATAATCTTTGTCGCTCTCAAACTTTTAGTACAAAGTAAAAAAAAAAGCTTTATCTCAATCATTCTCAAAACTGAGACCAATATGCAGCTTTCATAACCAACCACAGATGACCTCTGAGCTACAGAATTAAATGGTTGAAAATTATTCAAATTTTGGGCAGACACTTTTCAAGGCCACTTGAACATAATGAGAATTGATTGTAAGTTTGTTTTTTTTTTTTTTCTGTCCCTTTTCCACCAGACTGGTTAGCAATCTCTCTGTTGCTATTTTTTGTTAGGTTGATGCTTAATGTGCCTAAAAACTGTTAAAAGCAGTCACTTCTCTGTTTAAACTTAACACTACATACTTGGTGGTATCACACCCTGAAACAGCAGGTCATCTTGACAGGCGTTGTTGTGTTTATAAGTTATAAATTCCTTTGAGGGTGAGGCAGCTATGTAAATGTTATTTGAGGAAACAAAAGTGTATAACTTGTTATTAATTTCATCTGCCCAAATGGCAGGGAGGCTTAGTGTAAGGCTTGGGTTTTTTTTCTTTTCAGGACAGTGTTAGAATTGATTTATTGTCATCCTGTGGAAGCTTAAGTTGTTGACAAAACTTAAAAAAATAATTGTGTGACTATGGTTAGGTCTGCTGTTATTATACGTAATATGAGCTTTGTATTAAAGTACAGTTGTAGCATTTTAAGCAAATTAAAGGTATCAAATATTCTCGTGTAAGGAGATGTTTCGGTAGAGACTGTTGTGATTTTAAAGCACATTGTTGGAATAAAGAGGATAGATAGGTAAGATGCTGTTTTTGTATGTGCCTTTGATTATAAACTGCCCTTGTACTAAACTAAAAGCAGCTAAACAAGGTTGAATCTGTTAACTTCACACTTTTGTTTTTTTTTTTTATGATTAGGTACAAAGTCAGGATGTTAAGAAAGAATCACCACTTCAGTTCAAATTCCGTGCAAAATTTTACCCTGAAGATGTGTCTGAGGAACTCATACAAGAAGTCACAAGGGTGAGTTCATTAAAAAATTGGTGAAATAATATAAAGTCCTGAGAGTATCAACTAACTTCTTACTAGAAGGTTTAAGTCATTCATTACAGTGAAGTGCAATGGCAAGAAAATGATTCAATTATTTTACAAGGAAGTCAGTTCAGGCGTTATGGTTATGCCTCACTTTTCCGTAAAAAAAAAAAAAAAAAAAAAAAAAAACTAAGAATCTGCTTTGTTTGTCGGTGAAGAAACATAAGAAAAGAGCAGATGCATAGCGCTGAACTGCTAAAGTAACAAATGAATAATAGGGTAAGTTTCTAAAGAAACTGTGGTGTTGCGTCGGTGGGAGAGTATAGCAGGTAATTTAGTGTTAACAACTGGGTTGAAAACGTAAATTAGCCACCGTAAAGGGTAAAAAAGCTGACGTTTCGAGCGTTAGCCCTTCGTCAGAGCGATTAGCTAAAGTAACAACTCTGTAAAAGGTCACAGAGCAAATGTACCAATTATAACTTTCAGAAACCAACCAATCATGTTGATAATTGACCTGTCAAATCATTGCAAACTTCATTGGAAGAAGTAACTGCATTGCAAAAAAAAACCTCTCTCTTAGAGAAGCATACTGTATGTTCTCTTTCATTGTTTTGAGGAACCATTGTTTCAGGGGATGCTACAAAATCTTTGGAAGTGTTTACTATACAAACTTTAAGTGACAGCCTTTAGAATCTTGCAAAATACTGCATATTCCTACAAGGTCTGCATCATGGATTGAAGTGTAAGAATGATGTCCTCAGTTTACTTGTCAATGTAGGTGGTGGAGACACTTTTAGAGCTGTAACTAGAATTCTGATCTCTGCTTTCTTGTTTTGCAGAGACTCTTCTTCTTGCAAGTTAAGGAGGACATCCTTGCTGAGAGAACTTTTTGTCCAGCAGAAACTGCAGTTTTGTTGTCCTCATATGCTGTAAGTTGACCACAACAATCAATATTTTTGTGTCAGTTAATGTCCCTAATCATGATGTCTTTATACGTTAATCTTCTTATTTTATTGATACTTACCTAAAATCTATAATGTGATAGTGCACAATCGAAAATATTTCCCTGTTGTTGAGTATCTTTGTCCCTGTTTTTGATAAAATATCATTAGGAAATAAGTGTCAGTGGCTC